GCTTCCCAAAACCCTTACCCTATTTATGACCAAAATCTGTGATTTTTGCTGCCCTATCTATGACCTGGCAAAAAATTTGATACCCTATTTATGAGCGTTGCCGCTGGCACAGTTGCCCTAAACATAAGTTATGAAGGACTTTTGTTGATGGTCCTATTTATAATGATGAAAAAGTAGGTTTTTCTAAGGAACACACCCAATTCAAGACTAGCACGCTAAAACCATATCCTATTTAAGACCAAAATGTCCAAAATTGATACCCTATTTATGACCAAAACGGCTGAAAAACCCTATCCTTTGGGGCTGCACATACCTATATAACCCATATAAGGGAGTACCCTCCCTGGGGCTTAAGGTAATGCTGCGCCACACACAGTGTAACTCTGTTTTAATCACATGCTCTTTGTGCTAAACTGTAGAATTATTTACCAGTTTAGGCGTTCTTTAATGTCAAATTTAGAACAGGTTTTGTACTAAATTTTTCTTCGGCAAGTTTTATTTACCAATCTTGATGTCTGTATTTGATAGGATGATTTTTGCAAATGTGTTATGAACAATTATTCTATTTAAGTGCAGAAATGACACACTGTTTGAGTAAGGCTATTGGGCAATATTAAGGAGCTAAATATATTTGCCCACCTACCTTTTACATCAATTTATTATTGTTCAATTAATCTACTTTCTCTGAACATAGAAGGAACCTGCAGAATACCCTGCAACATACTAAATTTGGACTGTGATCAACAATTTGTGATGAAATATCTTTTCCTTCTTTTGCAGAAAAATGCTGACATCAGCATTTTTTAAAATTAAATGCTAATTATCTTGAAAAAGAGCGTGGCTACCCCCATTCTTCTTTTTGGATTCCAATAGCCCTTAATGCAAAGATTGCAAAAACCTTTGTATTCAGTAGGCGCCGTCCTTAATAATAATAAATAGATTACAATAATTATTGTGTGTATTTTCTCTTGAAGGTTGAAATTAAAACACAAGAACAGTGGGATGAGCTGTTGTCAAAAGAAGGACTGATAGGTAAGTACTAGGTCATTTATCTCAAACTTGGTTTGGTAGGTTTACAGTGACACTCAATGGTATACTTATGGATACAATTTAATTCTGTTCGTTGTCTCATTAAATTGGTCTTGGATGCTTTTACACTTACTGCCAGTCTCTTACGTCCAAAATTACGCCACGAGGTGCTGAATGTGGTGATGGATCTAGATCCTTGACACAGGTAACTTCCTCTATATGATGCAGTCTTGAAACTTGTGACTGAAATCCATCTTTGTTCAAACACTTGCTCTGATCTCATGAAGATCCAACTGGTCTGATGATGTCCTAGAAAATTTTGGTTTGGGCTTAACCACTAATGGAAAACACAATTTGTAATTGGTTCATCATTTGGTACTTTTTCAAAAATGGCTGTTTCTTAATGTCTGCTGTAAGTTGAGCCACTTCTCTATTGTTATTAATTAAAAGAAAGTAAGGCTCCTGCCTGTGTTTCCATTGGTTAAGGTCTTGTATGGAACTTGCCAAAGACTGTTTTGCTAATTTTCTTGTCTTTTATCTTTCTAACGCCCTGAAATAATACAGTCACATGACTGTACTGGGCAATTAGATCTTTCAGTTCTTGTACACCTTCTTCTTGTTTGACAGTGGGGGCATGTCCTTCCTCAGCTATGCCCAGGTCTTTAGGGTTCTGCAAGGCTGCTATCTGGTCAAAATTTCAGCTTTCCTATAGTGCTGTCAAGGTTTCCTTGCTAATCAGTGGAGGTGATTGTATGTTTCCAGATATGACAGCAAATCTTGTGGGTTTCCCACATGTTTCATGGTAACACACTCCGACCCTTGTATTCTTCCTTAATATCAATATCCAGGTTTTGCTAGAGAATAAGTACCAGTATCTGATCTTGTTAGTTTGTAAGTTTGGCTTGTCACTTGTCCTGTGAACAAAATGCCATAAACTGATATTAATCCTTGATGTTGACATCTTCAGCACTGTCGCCCTGCATCTGCATATATCAACATTATTCAGTCTTGCCATCCCTTAGTTCTGTACATGCTACCAATTTATACCAACATCTTTTAGCTTGATCAACTACATGTACCAATCTGAAGAATTCATCGTCTGACCTGGTGAAATTTCAGCATATGTATTCAGTTGTCCTCTTAACACTTCTTTTGTTTTTACCTCTACATGTACCTACTTGGCTTCTGTCTTCTGGGATTCTGTATAACGTGGGCATGAATGCTCTCAGATGTTTCTATACAGGGGAAAACATGGTTCAAGCCTATGACATATATTGTATTTCTTCTTGCTCACCATTCAGTCTCTTCGTTTCACACTGACTCCTACTAATCCATTTAATTCACCTTATGCTGCTTGCCATGACACTGTGTCTGAGTGAATCCATTCCTCCCTGTTTGCAGTTCCGGTGTCACACTGTACATGAGAAGTCAATTTAGAGATGTTCTGGCCACACTCCCCATGTCCTAGATTTGCTGTGCTATTTTGATCTTCTGTCTGACCTGCTTCAGCGATAAATGTGTCAAGTCTCACATGCTAATGACTTCAATTAGGTTGTTTTCAATTGTTTGGATGATATGTTTTAAAGTTCTCTCATCATAATTACTTCCAAATTCAAACTCTTTTGCTTCTTCCCAGAGCCTTAGGCTTGTGGTTTCTTCTGCATGCAATTTCATCTTCAGAAATATACCATGTGTGTGACATTCAGGTAAAATGGTCATTCTGCTTGATTCACAGTCTCACCTAAATATCTAATTCTATTCCTGGGTCCAATAAACTCTTCTCTAACCAAGCTATTTCTTTTTCACCATAAATAATTATGGAACTTTGCTTGTTGACTGTCAGCTTTAGTTGATGATTTCAAAATTCTCTTTCTATACCATCCCATGCATGCTTTTTTTTTTTTGACTCTTAATTGTGATTCACACTACTTACAAACAATGGTACGCCTACTTACACTATTTACAAAAGTAATACAACTACTAAAGTCCATTACATTACCGACGAAACGTTTTTATACAATTCAATTACTTACACACTACTTACACTACTTACAATTCAGTGCAATTACAGGTGCTACTTACAAATAATACAATTTGCATAACTTACTCTACAAAACAATACGATTACTTATTTAACTTAGGATGCATGCTTTCCCAAATGTTATTTTCTTTGTTCAGGATGACAAATGGTTGTCTACGAAGGATTCTTGTTGCAGTGACAATGTGAATCACTTGTGCTGCCATTTGGTGCTGTTTGACCACCTGGCATTTTACCAGGTCTGCCCTGCTAATATGTATCTGACAAATCCGATTAATCCTGGTCGCCATTATTAATGTTAAAAACAACCAAGCCCTGGTTCAATAGTGGAAAATCATGCTGCTTCATACTATATGCAAGCTTATGAGTGCGAACGCAGAATATTTATGAATTATTCATGATTGTCAGAAGTGATGTCAGGACATCTTTTAATTTATACAGTGGTAGATTCCTACTCAGCATGGTGTGGACCATGTAAAGCGATTGTAAGTTCCTTCAAGAGACTAAAGAATGAACTTGGTGATGACCTGCTTGTGTTTGCAACTGTAAGTATTGAACATGTGTTTTTTATCTTTCATAGTGAGTATGCAGTAATGGAAATTTGACTTTAAGGTTATCATATTCCTAAAGAGCACCTTCAGAGTTGTCTCACGTTCAAGCAAATGGCATGGCATATCCGGTTTAAACCGTAGATACCTAAACCCTCTATCAAATTAAAGCTTATAGAGCTGGCTATCACACCAGACCAAAAATGTTGAAACAAAATGAATTGACGAATTTTCCACAACCTCTTAAAATGTGAACATCCGAATCATCTTTTGAGTCTCTTTTGAAAACTACAAGTCAAAGGAAATTTGTTTGTTTGCCCTCAAATTTGGATAGTAGCTAGTTTGACATATAAACAACTAAAATGTGTCACTCTGTGAATTTTTTATTTCCAAATATTTTTTCTCTGAGAGGGATTTTTCATATTTTCCATATTTTTTAAAATTATCCTGTTTTGAAAATGTTCTGTAATTTTCCACTGAAATTGAATATATATGGCAAATCGCAGAGATGTTTCTTTCAAACTTTGGGTCCAGAAACTGAGGGACAAACTTAATAAGAGAAAAACAAAATTAGCTGTGACTTGTAGCTTTCAAAAGGTGATTTGGACACTCAAATTCTCTTACTTGACCTTTGTGTGCAGATATTCTATCTATTGTAAACAATATGTTTAAAGAGTGTGACATTCTTCAGAAAGGTGCTCTAGCCAATAGGATAAATTATATTGCAGACATCAAGACTATTATAATGGTAGAATCTAATATATTAAGTAATTTACATTTGCAATGAACATACTGTCATAATGTCAGATAATGTCATTGCCAAGCTAATGTTGCTGTTCTTTTTTGAAGGCTGAAACAGATTCCGTTGATTCTTTGGAAGCTTATAGAATGAAAAGTCAACCAACATTCCTGTTCTATGCTGTAAGTATTAAATAAATTATAGCTTTCACTGTATACTACTTTAATAGCAACTGCCTAATTGTGGGCATGTGTATATGGGAGTACTGGAAGTATCAATGTCTGGTTCCAAAAAAGATCCATACCCCTCACAGGTATGTATGTTTCTTTTTTTTTATTTTCACCCTCCATCCCTTTGGAATTTTTGTCCCCTCTTGAAAAAAGGCTAAACATGAGCCCCCCATTCCTCCATAAATTTCTGTTTTTTTTTTACCCCGGCCCCACCCCCCACACCTGCCTAAAAAATTCCAATGACTTTTCATGGGGAGGGAGGGAGATATGGATATTTTCTGGAACCATAGGACAAGTTCCATTACGACCAGTGTTGACCATACAGCTGTAAACTCAATTAATATTATGTAATGTCAACTTGATGAAGAACAGTCAGTCAGTCCCTCATCTGTGAGCTTTTTTTCAAGGGGTTTAAAGTCCTTTAATAGCTCAATAGAGCAGTTCCACATGAGACATTGAAAGCATGCATGCCAAATAATTTATTTCAATTTCTTTATTATTTCTTATTCTTAAGCAGATAACTGATACACTGGGCTGTTCGAAATTACCAACTTTTTCAGCACCTAATACTAATTTTGGGGCTATTTGTGATGTCTGTAACATGCTTTCTTAAATTCATTGCTTGAAGCTTTTAAGAGAAAATCATCTTAAATATTTTTTTGTTTTGGAAAAATACTAGCCAAGGGTTTATGTACTTCTTTCAGTATTCCATACTTAAGTTGTGCAACTCTGAGTTAACTTTTTTAAAGTTTGGCTAAAGATCCAAATTCAAATTTTTGCCTGGAATATTGTGACATGGTTTGTTCAATTGGCTGGCTTATACTCATCCACAACAATGATATTTTGTGACTGTGATAACTCCTCTTAATGTGATCACATCTTTGGAATGGCATGACCAAGGGTGATAGGAGTACATGTATCCACTCCAGACCCTGTGATCAGTGTCTGGAGAGATATTATGATATAGAGATGATGAAGAGAGAGAGAGATGGCATGATATTAAAAAAATGTTTCTCCTGGAACACTTGAATGAGGCACGAACAGAGGCAGATGAAAGTCGCAATGAAAACCTCAAGCCTTATATCAGTTTCCAGGTCATTTGCCTTGTAAAGTACAATGCTGTAGAGTTATCATAGATCTGTTCTTTAACACTAAGGGGAGTGGTTAGGTGAATTTTTGATTTGTCTCTAAATTCTTTTATATTATTTATTAGTTTTAACTACATGTACTTTGCTGGTGTATTTTGCTTTGTGATCTCTACAACATTTGCCTCTTGATTTTACTTGATACCTTTCAAGCCCAACCCAATCCTTTCAATCAAAGTGGACCCTGCAGTCCCTAGTAAGTGTCCTCCTTTGAGCTCCCAAAGTGACATAAGCACCCCTGGTGCTAAATCCAATCATTATGGTACACATAATTGCCCGCCATCACAAATAACTACTTTTCCTTGGCAAGGAATTGATCCAGAGCTCTAGTAGTTACATTTTTTTGTGTGTTATTAGGGCGGGATTCTGGTAAATGCTGTGAGAGGATGCAATTGCCCTTTATTGGTGAAGACTATACGTAATGAACTGGAGAAAGAACACAAAGTCTTAGATGGAAAGGGTGAAAGAGTTCCAGTAAGTAGTTATTAATAAGGTCCATAGGAAAAAATGCTGCTGTTGCCCTTTATCTATTGGTCTGCACAATGCTATATAATTCAAACTGTGAAGCCTTAATTCTTCTGAATCTGTATAGTATTAATATTGAGTTTTAGGGACATTTCTTGGAAGCAGTTAAGCCATCTGATATCAAAATATTTGCTCTGATTAAGACATAAATGTCTATCACTATTGAAGACTTTCATATTGATGTTTAAAAGTTTCTCAACCAAGTTGC